ATAATGAATGACTGCAGCATTATTGATCTCATCCATGCTAATGCTTGGATTATATCCAAGCCCGAGCACATGCCAAGATTTGTCTAATGATTTGGTCAACGAGTAGAATGTGATCAGTCCAGCCGGAAGAGTATCCAATAGCCATAGAGTTTGATCCTCATTCTGTCAAAAGATCACTGAAAGTTAGTCACATATCCATTTTCAAACTTTACAGTTCAAACCCTAATTCTTACCATTTGTATAACTGAGATGTTTACTCGAGAAATTTGAAGTTAGAAAACTGGTTTTAAGTTTTTATTTGATCATCATTTCTATGGTTTCCAATTTTCATCCAAAAACCAACCTTTCATTTTCAGATTGATCATCTTTTCATCCAAAAAGAACTAAGAGCACAAACTTCCATTTTCAGATTCTAGTTAAATTATGTAAACGATAATTATCATTTCCCCCATCAAAGTCAAAGAAATGATCTTTAGGAAATCAAACATCATGCTGAGTTGCTAACAAATTTATTAGGCTTATATCAAACATTACTAATTTAACTTAAAAAGTAAAAACCACACTTACCAAGTTTTGCCACTCGTGATACATTTCCGTGCATTTCTCTCGCCTCCAAGCATCAAGATCAAAAATATTCATCCCAAAAGCCCAAGCACAACCCTTAGGATTAAACCTCTCCTTAATTAGAGGATGTGAAAAGTTCAAATACTGAGAGAAACGATGAAACGAGCCAAAGCAGGTCTCGACAGCCCCATTTACCTTTCCAGCCAGATCTATCTTCCACAACCCTGTCAAGTCCTTCTGAACCACAACATCGTCATCTAATAGTAAAATCTTATGCAATTTTGGGTACATTTCAGGCAAATAAAATCTGAGGTGATTCAACATTGAAGTAGACACGGGGTTCTTTAACTTCAGGTTACTCCCATCTTTTGTTGCATTCTCCATTGTTTTCTCGGGGCTAAACCTCTGCATTTTAGCAGACTCAATCCGCCTTAACACTGGCACGTAGGACGAATCCAAGATGCTATAATCTTCCACTGCCTTCACCTCCAAATGAGCACCCCCTTCCACGGGTCTCATTCTAAACCAAACTTTCATTGCAGCCACATTCATTCTATCGGTCACCACATGGAACACATGTTTCCAGGGCTCCTCCGCATTATTCACCACAGACCTCACGACCACAGATACCGCAATCACATTATCTGAAAACACAGCATAATGATACAAACTAGTATCCTCAAACTCGGCCTTAGGCAACTCTTCCTTATACTTTTCTGGATGAGCAACTCTCTCCTCCACAAGCCTCATTGCCAAGCAATGCAAACTCTTAGGAATTGATTTAGCAGCAATCGAGCTTGCCAAAGCTCCATTCTTTTTGGCCTTTCCCAGCAATTCGCTAACGGAGAAAATGGTATCTTTCAACTTCTGAATTTTCAACTGATTATCATAATTCTCTTTAGATTCAGCTACCAACGACCTAGCAAATTTCACTCTATCTTTCACTTCTTTCTCAAACTGCCCCAAAACATCCTCATCTACATTCCCATTTGTCTCAAACAAAGAAGATTTATAACTCGGTTTCGAATTAAGGTCTGAGAAGTTCTTAGCTAAATCATCAAACATTTTCAACTGCCTTGAAATTTCAAGCTTTAGCCGCATTGCATAAGCTGCATATGCTTTCACTAACGTGATGTGATCATTGGCTTGCTTGTATATCAAATCTAACCTTGTTCTGAGAGGATCTGAATTCAATGCCAGAAATGTTCGATGCACGTAAACATTTGCGCCACTTGGAAGACTCTGCTCAGAAACGCAAACAGAAAAAACGGTTAAATTATCTGAAAAACGGATTTAAAACCCCATAAAGATTGAATTTTTGAAGTAAAGACAAAACCCATAATAAGAAGGCCAAAGGGTATTCAAGAAAAACCAAACCCCAAGCTAGAAAGCTGAAAAGAGCATCTGAAAAGGCCAGAAATATACGAGATTTTGGAGAAATGGAGAAGGTGAAATTACAGAGTGGTGATGCGTTGTGGGAGGACGAGAAGAGAAGAGAACGGAGACGGTGACAATGAAGAGAAGCGAAAAAATGGCTGAGATGAAGATCCTGTAAGAAAAGAAACTGCGGATACCAGCTCCAACTCCGCCTGATCCGCCGCTTCGACTTCCCCTGACGGCGATCGCCATTGAAATCAGCTAATGTCCGCTGCTCTCTCCCCAGAACTGATCAGTGAAAGTGGAATGTGATTAAACTTGAAAGTGAGAGGTTACGAAAAATAGAAACAGAGAGATCTGAGATCTGATAATGAAAATGTTTAAGATCTGATTTCCGTATCGGTTTTATTAAAAAATTTCAACTCCAAATGGGAGGAAAGCTAAGTTTTGATTCAATTTCTTATTATTTTCAATATATTTATCAACGAACTTTTATATATATATACACACACACACGTTCGAGTAAATACGAGACAATATCATCACTATATCCACACAGAATCAAATGACAAACTTCAAAGTTTTAAATTCGATATCCGAAATAAAAACATCCTAATAATTTAATTAGTAAATTCAATTTAATTAGTAAATTCAATTTAATTATATTTATCAACTCAAAATTTAAAATATTAATCCAATCAATTTAAAACTATAAACATCAACAAATGAAACTTATCGCATGTAATTCACATTTAAATTAAATTGAATCTCAGATAATTCAAACTAAATAACTCAAACCCACCGTGAAGAGATGATCTCAAACTTTTCAAGCTCAAATCGATTCAAGTTAAAATCAATTTAACTCATCCCATTCAAATTAACTCTTATTATTTTTTTAGTTTAAACAATAAACAAATAAAATAAAATTCCAAAATCTTATTAGTTTTCTAATTGATCAAAATATTATTTAGTTTATAATTGCTAAGTTTTAATTTATTTTATGTTAAAAAATAAAATTAATTATAGTTAAACGTTAATAATAATATAATCGATGTAACTAATGTTTGATCAACGTAATTTTATTTAAATGTACAAAGGTTTACTTTTAGAAATTTTCTATAACGCTCATTGGATGAGCACCATTAAATTAATTTATAAAATGTTAAATTATAAAATATTAGACGTATTATTATAAATTAGTTAAAAATATAAATGTAATTTAATTTAAATATAAGATTTATAAAACATTAGTTTTTATGGTAAACTATACCATTGACCACTAATATGTATCCCCTTTACTTTAACCACCGATTTTTTAATTTTATCAATTGGGTCACCTAACTATTTAAATCTTATCAATCAAGCCACATGTTGTTAAATATTAATGGAGAAGATAACGTGGTAATTAATAAAAAAATTATAATTATACATTTAGTCCTCATTACTTACAGACTCTATTAATTTGATCCTAACTTTTAATTAGTTCAATAAATTTAATCCTCAATCGGATGATGACAAGAGGCATGAAGATCAATGAAGTGTTAAATGGTACCATGTGTTATCAATTGAATGAATATAAAATAATTTGAATCAATAACTACTATTGGTGGGGTTTGAACCCAGAATGTGATGAGAGAAAGCAAATGCCCCAACCACTAAGATGCACCATTCAAATGATAAACTTATTATGACATAATATATATAGTTAATGGTAATAAAAAAGGGAAAATGACCTAATAAGAACTCCAACATAAAATAATTGAATAATACGATAATATGATTTATATACACAACTATTATAACTGATTAATATGCGAATGTATTTTATTTATATTTTAAATCATTTTAATGAAAAAAATAAAAATAATTTAAATATAAAAAAGAGCTTCGTTGACTTAGAATTTTTCCTGATAGTTGAGGGCTTATCTTAGTAAGCATTTTAACTTATGCACTGACTTGTTTATATCCCAGTTATAGCAAGAATTTTATATTTTATTATTTATTCATTATATATTTGAAGAAAATTTTATGGGAAATTTGACTTTATTGAATTAGTCTATTTTAATATAGAGTTGTTAAATAAGATTAGAATATGATCGACGTTATAATACTTTAAATATAAAATATGACACATTTCAGTTCAATAAAATTAGAATAACGAAGACAATTTATTAATCTAAAATATGTAAATGATACATTTCAACTATAACATATTAAATTTACTTTTATTTTAGTTTTTTCATTAAATGTAACTTAAAATATAAATAAAACATATTCATTTATTAATCAATTATAATATTTGTTATATATATATATATATATATATATAAGTATATTATACTTAACAAATTTAGTGGTCCAACTTAATGGTTAGGGTGCTCAGTTTTTCAGCTTGCATCTTAGGTTTAAATCTCACCGGCAGCGGTTATTGATTTAATTTATTTTTTATCCAATCAAATGGTGTCACGTGTCACAAATTGAATTAAATTAAAGTTATGACCAAATTAATAGAATGTGTAAGTAATGAGGACTAAACGTGTAATTATACAAACATCATCTCATCTCTTAATATTTAACGACACGTCTCTTGATTGACAATATTTAAATAGTTAGGTGACCCGATTGACAAAATTAAAAAATTAATGGTTAAAGTAAAAGGGATAAATAATTAGGTAGTCAATGGTGTAATTTATCCTAAAAACTAATATTTTATAAATATTATATTTTAATTAATTTATATTTATATTTTTAATTAATTTATAATTATACGTTTAATATTTTATAATTTAATATTTATAGATTAATTTAATGGTGATAATTATTAACTGTGTTCATGTACGAGCGTGATAAAATCATTCTTACTTTTGTTATATTTATCATCTTCCTATTATTTTTCTTGTCGTTTAGTGGAGTTTACTTTAATGAAAGCCAAAGTTTCTTGGTCTGGTAAATAATTCCCCAACTCAAAGAACAACGCAAAGCAAATGAAAAAAAATGTGGAGAAATAAACTTTGGGTATATATATATATATATATATATATATATATATATATATATAAATTGCAGCAAATGGGACTTGTATGAAGTCTAGGAGGAAGTGGAGAACAAACAAGATAACAGTTTCGAGAATATTCAAGCTCAAATGCTCAATACATGTTATTCTCGTTTCCTTACATCTTGAAGAACCAGAAATTCTGTTTGAACCGGTTTAGAACAAACCGTGTTCCAAGGCAACATCTTCCAGGTTCGTGTACGGCTGACTCAGTCGCATATCGGAAACCATCTGACGAAGTTCAGAGGCTTCCTCTTTGAGCTGAGAATTCTCTTGAAGGGCCTTTTCATGGGTCTCCGACACATGGTTCAGCTTATCCAGGAGCTGGTGGTTCTCATTCCTCAGCCAAACCACATGCGCCCAAAGCTCGTCAAGGTGCCTTTGTTTACGCATACGCGACCTACGTGCGGACTCTCGGTTCGATATCATCCTCCTCTGCTTCCTCTCGATGATAAGGCTTAATTGCTGCTCGTCGGCTTCGTCGGAAGTCGAGTTGCTGCTGATACACGACGAGTGGGGGCTGATTTCATGAAGTTGAGGAGGCACATAGAGATTATAGATCGAGTTCGAGAATGGGTTCGCAGGTATCTCGCTCTGGTTCATGGCGAAATTCGACAAATATGGGGATGGATTGGAAGGAACTAGGCATTGGATACCTGAAACCTCAGTAGATTGCATGGTGAAAGGGACTAAAACCTTGGAAGATAACAATGAGGAGACTAGGTTTTTATAGAGTAAGAAAAGCTCAAGTTAGTATCAACACGGATCCTGACTCGAAGATAACTTTATGTATCGATGAGTGTATGTAGTAAGGTAAATACATATAAATTTGTGCAAGTGATACATAGGTTATGGACATGCATGATTGCACGCGCACATACATGAAAACAGGGGATGCACCTTGTGTTGTGGATAATCATTTGGCGATCCAATTATGCTTACATCAGAAAGAGAGAGGGAGCTTATGTTGTGGGGAGTATAATTATTTTATTGGAGGAAAAGCTTTAACCCAAGAAATAAAAAAAAAGGAGCATCCCGGAAATATTAATCTATCAAAGTGGGGGATGTTCCAACCAATGTACACTTCTGACGTAACAAATACATTTTCCTATCTCCACTTTATATTACCTAAATTTCAAAATTAATATTTGTTGATAAAAAGTATAAATTTCGATTCATTCATTTTGATTTTAAAGAAGAAAATCATCAAATATTGATTGAACGAGGAAAAAAGAAAATTATCATAATAAAAGAAAAAAAGAAAATTATCATAATAAAAGAAAAAAAGAAAATTATCAAATATTAATTGATTGAGGAAGAAAAAGAATTATCTTAAGAAAGAAGAAAGAGAAAGTGTATCGATCAATATCCGATGAAGATTAATGAAGTGTTAAAAGGTCCGATATAACAAGAATTGATTCCAATAATAATCTTCGAAGTATAATAATACATATTTCTTATGAATACATCATAGACTTATTTACATTCGAATTCTAATGTTTATTACAAATTTTGTAGAAGATGTATTTGACAAGAGGCATGGAGATAGGGTATTGACAACCATAATCTGGTGGTTCTACTTTTTGAACTTTAAGATGAGATATGGAAAACAGTGGTTAAAGTAGGTGAGCGGATTTAATCCTGTGGTCCAACATGTTAAATGGTTGTCCTTTGTTCCCATATGTAATGGGGTAAGGGGAAGCTTCCGTAGGAGACCTCCAAATTATGAAATGACCTCCATGAGACTCGATCCCACGACCTCAAGGTTAAGAATTTGTGGTCCAACATGCTGTGTTCACTTATTTAAAGATGCAAATAATTTGTGGTTTTCTGCTTGGCGACAAGGCCATTTCGCAATAGAAATGCAAACTTTTCCTTCTTTCATTGTTTAATTATATATGCAGATGCCGGCTTTAACGAAATTCCCAACGCCAAGTTGAGTGTTTCTGTGAGGCAAAGCAAATCTTACTTCTAGTTTATTCACGAAACAAATTATATTTTTAATAAACAAATAATTTCATGGTTATATTTTATAATCAATTTTTTAAATAATTTTAGAATGATTACAAGATAATATTTATTCAAAATATTTTTTAACTATTAACAACATATACACACCTAACTACCCAAAACCTAAAATCTCTAAAAAAAAACAACTCTCGTTTTAATCACTTTTAAATTTTGATAAAATCGGGTGTCACCTAAAGTGGGCTATTTAGTCGATAGTATCGTTAGAGGGATAAACTCTTCTTTCTTTGCTTCAATTTCTCGTATTAATATTTATATATTTTTTTCATCGTATTAATTATTTTAGTACACAAATCTTTTTCATATTTGTGTCATGTTTCTATTTATTTTGTCTGTGTTTACATTTTTATAATTTTCATAACCATTCCATAAGAAAAGCATGCCAAAGGGACATTTCACTAGAAAGACGTTTTTGGGCTATGCACGGAAGGGTACTTGATTTAACTGGTCCAACAACAAAGTCACCGAATAAAGCCATACAAAAACATTATTATACTCGCGTGCAAAAAAAAATATTATAAATTTTATTTTATTTTTTTCAGATATAAAATTCATTTAAGTCAAATATATAAAACAATTATTTAGGCATTAAACTTTTAAAATTTATAAAATGAGTATTAAAGTTTAGATGATATTATAAAATAAATATCGTGACATTAGTTGTCAATTATCATTAAAGAAATCACGCGATAAAAAATTTCTCATTTGTGATAAAAAATTTGTTTTAATATTTGTAAGAAATAATTTAAAAAACAAAAAGAAATAGTATGAAAAAAATTCAATCAATGATCTCACGTAGTTGGGGATTGCTTATAATCAAATTGCACATTATCTTTGAGATATTTACCAAACTTTAAAATTAAAAAGTTTAATATCTAAAAGATTCATTTATATAATTTATCTAATTCCTTTTTCAAAGGCTTAATAAAATGTTTAAATAATAGGTGAGTAGTAGGAATTTGCGTAAGAGTGAGAAGCACGTAATTATTAAATTTCACATGCGCTTACGTACTTAGGTTAAGGTCTTTATCCCACTTACGATTAGTAAATTGTGGTGTTTTTGTTAAAATATTGGCCGATCTTACTTTTTTATTTGTTGGGGCCAAGCAAAATTAATTGGTCATCGACAATGTTTTTTTTGATGTGTTTTTGTCGTGGTTCTTTTTTCTCATCACCTTGGATTTTAACTCATACAACAACAATAAAAAAAATCTTATTCTCATATGTAATAGAGTAAGAGAATGTAAGGTAGTAGGTTGTTCCCAACGTCAGGTTGAGAACAACTTTCGTAGAATACCTCCGACAATCAGAAAATTAAAAATAAAGATAAAATGCAATTCATGTATAAATAATGCATCCATTATTCATAAATCTGATGATATTATTTAATTAAAATAACGCTACATGTAATTTTGATCATTGTTGTGTATTATCATCTCGTCTAACGAGTTGTTTGATTTAATTAAAGGAGCTATTTTAATTTTTAACTTTATTCATAAATTTATTTATTGCTTTTAATAATAGTGTACATTCGGTAACAAAAAATTATTAATCGCCATCAAATCGCAATGTCCCACAACTCAATATTTGTTGACCAAAACCTCATTTCATGCTGGGAATGAATCAAGATAGTCCAAGGAACTGCGACAATAGAGAGGAGAAAGAAGAGGTGAAGTTTGAGCGGTATCTCTTTATCCATGTAAAGGTAAATTGTCTCATTCATTTCTTCTTTCGTGATAATATGGGAGACTTTCAAATAGGGTCATCAAAAATTTGTTCTTTATGCTTTTTTAATAGCATAATATATAAAATTAGTGTACAATGTTTGTATAAACGATCATTATTATTATTTTTTAAAACATTTTAATTTCTAATGTTTTAATTTTTAATCAAAATAATTAATATTTAATGTAAATTATTAGTTGACTAATGATCAAGACATATTGTTAAAGTGACACATACACGTATACTTAATTGATAAAGTGGTACATATCAAATCATCACTTTGAGTGACGTAGTTTATGCCACATCATCATTTTGGGTGACATGACACATATCATACCACGTCATCAATTAAGTACATGTGATAATATCACATCAACAACATATGTTTATCGTAAGTCAACTAACAATTTTCATTTAACATGAGTTATTTAATTACAAATTAAAAAGTTGAGGGTTAAAATATTTCCCAAAAGAAAATAGAGGGCTAAAATCCTCTTATAAATGATATTTTAATCGAAAGTCAAGATGGGCATTGCCATGCTTGCAAAGGTTGTAGAGGAAATGTGTGATTGCCACTTGCTAGTGATGTTAGTCCAACTTGTATTTTTGTTATTAAAAACTATGTAATTAATCAACAAGTATAAGCAAATGGAGAAAATGTAAGTGGAATAAGCAAGTATAGCTTATTTGACTATGATTATTCAAATAATCGTTGAGAGCAAATGTAAAAAACAATAGATATTTTCTCACTAACGTCACCAATAATTGAATTCATTTGGATAATTAAACATCACAACCCTCTTAGCTATGGGTTCAACTTTTTTTTTTCATTATTAATTTAATCTATTATAGCATTATATATTCCTCATTGTCGTTTATATACGTGTCAAGCTATGATATGAACTTTTGCTATACGCATTGTTATTCATTATTTGATTTTTATATCATCGTTATTTTTATTTTGTGTGCAAAAACTTATAGATTTATGTTATAATTATATCTGATCCAAAACAGAAAATGAAACCAAATCATCAAATTCAAATTTGAATCGTACCATAATTGAGCAATAAAAATAACCGTAAAGGATTTAGATTTAAATGTGTATCTATGAAATAAATAATAAAAAAAATTAAAAATTACATTTACAAAAATTAATAAAGATTAAATTTAAAATACATATGCTATACTATAATTAAAATATATTAGAAAGGGATAAGATCCAATTATATTGTATAAAACCCATTTCGTTGTACAAAGATTTAAGACCGTTGAATTAGTGAAAATAAATGACTAAGATTAACGATAGAAAATGAGAAGATATTCACACAAAAAAAAACAAATATTTAATCTCAATAATCTAATGTTACTCATCTAACAATACTAAATTTATGTAATTTTTTTGACTTTACACAACATAAATCGATCTAAATAAGAATGTTAAATAGTTTAGAAAACAAAAATAATTAAATAAAATATAAGTTAAAATGGGTGTGGAATTTTCACTAGGGTGCGATCCAAATGCACCTCCGGTGGGCGGCAATCTTTGGTGGAATGTATTTTTCTTCAAATTAAACCTAATCTTATATGAGATTTTTGAAGTTAAAAAATACTTTTTGACACTATAACTAAATGAAGACTAAAAAAAATTTAAGAAATTTTTTTCAATCAAGATTTTTAATCACCTTAATGAATAGTATTTTTTGGATATATAGTTATTAAAATACTCTTATTTATTCTTCATATTTTACGATTAATTATACTACTTAACATATATATATATATATATATATATATATATAATATTTTAATTTCTCTTAATACTTCTTTTACAACAATATCAAACCAACAATGAAGAGTACACCAAAATTATATGTGCGACGCGGGTCGATTCAGATTAATCAAGGCAAAACCTTAAAACTGAGAAGGAAAAAAAATAGGTTAGTTACTATTGAGTTTTGAAAAACACTTTTGTAAAGTATTTTGAAAAACTATTATTTTTTATTAATTTAAAATTCTTAAATATTGTAAGTGTTGTTTTTGTCGATGAACACACACTTATCAATGTCAACTAATATAATAAACGAAATTATAGAAAAACAAAAAATAAAATGAATAATAATATTTGTTATTTTTTAAAATATCAGGTTCAAGCGCGCGCACACACATATATATATATATATATATATATATATATATATATATGAAGATTTATGACAGTCTTTGAATATATAATAAATGAAACTATAGAAAAATAAAAAATAAAATGAACAAAAATATTTGTTATCTTTTAAAGTATCGGATTCAAACACTGTATATGTAAAGATATGAAAATTCAGGAAAGTCTTTGAATATATATATAAATTACATGTGTGAGACTACACTTGATCATTGAGATTGGATATCCCACTAAAAGGACAGAAGGTTTCACTTAAATTATTTTAGTTGTTTGGATTATGTCTTTGAAATTTTTATGAACAAATAATTTTTTTATCTTGATTTGGCAAATTACTTGACGAATCTTCAATTAATTTATTTGAAAATAAATAAATAGTTTATTTAACATAGTACATATCATATATAATCTAACTATGAACTAAGACCCCTAATGTGATTTGAATAACTCATACTAGTTACATTGATTAATTAAACTTAAGCAATTCTAATTTCATGACTAGTTTGTGTTTGATTTTCATTTTCTTGCTCAGCTTCGCCCGACATTTCTTCCAATGACTTCCCTTTCGATTCCGGCACCAAGAACGTGAAGAACGTCCCCAACAAGCTGACGACGCCGAGGATTATAAGTGATTTTTGTACTCCGATCCCTTGGGCAGCATACAAGAACCCGAACGCACCCACCATTGCCCCTGCTTTGCCCGATGCAGCTGATATCCCGTGGCATGTTGATCTCAACCGTGCCGGGAAAATCTCAGCGGGGACAACGAATGTGGTTGCGTTGGGGCCGAAATTTGAGAAGAAAAACGTGAGGGAGTACATTACAACGAATCCAATTCTGTTGTGCGGTAAAGTCCAGTGGTGGTACGGGATTGCCAAGGCAAACATGAACAATGTCATGAATGTGAACCCCATCAATTGGATCCTGAATCTCCCCATCTTGTCGATCAATGCCACGGTAAACCAATATCCGGGTACGGTGCTGCATAGTGCGATAAGTGTTTGAGCTCTTGCAATGCGGTAAACTTCTTCGATGGCGTTCATCGTTTTCGCCTTCGGGATCCAACCGATGGCGGTGAAGATGTCCTTTTGGAACAGGTTTTGGCTGTAGAAGGCAATGTCCAACAAGAACCAAGTGCTTGTTGTGCCTAGCAAGTGAAGTCCGTGTTTACGAAGGAATTCTGAGCTGAACAAACCAAATTCACTCTCTTTTCTCTCCTTCGGTTTCTCTTGTTGTTGTTCCTCTTCTAAATCGACCTCGAGAACTTTTGACATATCCGCGGCTGCCTGTTTTGCGTCCTTGGCGACTAAAGCGGTGTACCTAGCGGTTTCGGGCATCTTCATGCGCCAGTAATAAGTAAGCAGAGCTGGGAGTGCACCAAACATCAAAATGATCCTCCAAACGTAATCAGCTTCCGGCACGGTTGATCGATTCGGATTCTTTTCAAAAGGTGGTGAAGGGTACTTTGCCTTGAAAGCTCCCGAAACTACAATGGCAACCATCCCACCGGCCAAAATCCCAAACCCCTGCATTGCAAAAACAGCAGCAATGAAAGCCCCACGAGTCTTTTTATTAGCATATTCCGACATGATGGTGGCCGAAAGAGGGTAATCGCCACCGATGCCGAAACCAAGCCAGAACCGAAAGAAGCAAAGGGTAGCCATAACACTAGTAGGGGAACGGCCAAAGGAAAGTCCAGAGGCAAGGGAGCATATAACCATCAGCATAAGTGTGAGGCCATAAACACGTTTCCGTCCCAACTTGTCACCGAGCCATCCGAAAAAGAGTTGGCCCGTAAGGGTACCGGCGAATGCTACACCGTTGACGGCAGCGGATACATTAGGAGGAAGGCTGCCGGGCGAAGAAGAGCCTTCCTTGTAGTAATATATACGGCCGAGCAATTTGGTGACCAAGGAAATGCAAAACAAGTCGTATGCATCGGTGAAGAATCCCATGCCGGCAATGATGATTGCCGTGAAATGGTACCATTGCGTTTTGGCTACATCAAGCGCGCCATCACTAGAAAAAAGAAGAAGATGACGATAGAGGAGGAGGAGGAGAAGGTGGCTCCGTATTTAAGTGCCGTGGAAGCTCTCGTTTGGTTTTTCAATTTGAAGTGGTAGAGATTTTTAAAAAGTGATGAAAGAGAGAAGAAAAAAAATCATTATCAGAATCTTGTTCGTTTTGCAAGTTGGCATATTCTATAGTTACACCATGATTTTCTATAATTAGTTAACTTTTGGGGACACTATTTCTTTTCAAAAAATACGATTTTTTACGTTTGAATTTAGATTTGATACGAGCCTTGGGTTGGTTTCATAAAGGATTTGATTAGGAATATTCTTTTGTATATATATTCACTGAGTGTGAAGAAGATAACTATTAATGCTTAACCTAAATGAATGCCGAGTTGATAAAAAATGATATATATTTGTTAAATTATTATTTTGAACATATTTATAATATACTAAATTTTGTTACATTTATATGTCAATTTTGTTTTTGTTACATTTACAACATAAATAAAAAAATATTTTATTTAATATATATTTATCAAGATTTAATCTCAACAAATTACCAAGGGTGAATTAACAAAAAAACTTGTATGTATATTTATAGAATATGTGTTTAATCCTTGTATACTGATTTTTAGTTGTTTATGCCATAGTATATAGAATTATGAAAGAGTTAATTTCATCACATGTCCTTAAAGTACGACTCTCATTTTAAATGTTTCAATTTCATCCCTAAACTATGACTATCATTCAAAATTAGTCCTTGAACTTTTGAATATTTCAAATTTATCCTTAAACTATACCTTCATTCCAAATTGGCCCCCAAACCTTTTGAACATTTCAAACTCATCCCAAACTATATGTATATACTAATCAAATCCTTGTAAATGAAATCGTTAGACCAAGTGATACCATTGCATGTTTGAAAAATAACTATGTTAAAATATGGTTGACACTAATTACGTATTTGGATGAATTTGAGAATGAAATTAGAATATTCAAAAGTTTAGGGACTAATTTAGAAAGAGGGTCATCGTTTAGGGATGAAATTAAAATGTTTAAAAGTTTAAGAACTGATTTAGAATGAGAGTCATAGTTTGAGGATAAAATTAAAATATTCAAAAGTTTAGAACCAATTTAAAATGAAGGTATAGTTTGGGGACATATGGTGCAATTAACTCATTATGAAAATACCAAATCACCTTTATAATAATAACATTTCTCATGAAAATATTTGTTGTCAAACCAAATTTTATTTATCTTTAAATACAGATAATAAAAGATCAACCTAAGCTCAATATGACTCGGTTATTGAAAGAATCATCAACCTACCAATAAGTAGGCTGGTTTGGATTCGTTCGTTGTCAGCAAATTTACATATGGGACAATCTAAACCCCTCATTAATTATAAATTAATGAAAAATATCTGCATGATTAATTAATTAAAAAATAGGTATTAACTCCATAATCTAAAGCATCTCGTTTGCTGATTAAATTAAGAGTAGTAATTACCACAGATTCATTGATTTTTTACATGGGATGACAAGCTGCCAATGGCATGGGGTGACAAGGAAATTCACTTCATTGCTCGTTTTCCATCCCAATATGTTTATAAATTATTTAATAAATTGATTCAAATTCAAAGCCAATAATACGAAATATAAAAACATAAATATTTGTACACGAATTCATTTTATAAAATTATTAAGGAAAATAAAATGATTTTATCGATTATGATTAGTTTGTCTTATCTTATTTAGATAGAGAGTTGCGATTGAAGGAAGAACCATTGCTCATTGTGAGAAAGGAGAAAGTTCAACCGTGGTAATGAATTGTTCATCTCCTTTATTCAATCCTATATAGGAGTATTTATGGTGACTTCTAATATATGTATCAATCTTAGGATTGTTATGACTATTTATAGGTCAGTAGACCATATAATTTTGATAATCAAATCTTGAACTTCACTCTAAAAGATCACACAAATCTATTAAGGATTTTGTTTACATATTTTATTTACACGTTGTAGTTGGCTCGAGAGTTTCTGTGTAAAGAAATGAGACTTTTTGGAGACCTAATGAACGGATAAATAAACCTAAAATTCTAAATTCCTACCTTTTTTGGAGAAGATTTGCAAATTTCCATCCTGAAAGGTTTGGATTTTATTACAGGTTAGGACTATAAAAATTGGATGCTTTATCCCTTTTTTTTTGGTTTTGATTTTAAGGAATTAATGTTTTAGCATTTTCTCATGCGGACAGAATTGCAGTGTGCTGAAGAGTTTGAGTCTCCAAGGTGGTTTAAATTTTCTTAAAAAAAGTCGAATCTTTGAGAGTTTTAGGTAGATTCAAAAGATGACAATTGGGGATATAACACCAAAGAAGGAGAGAAAGTCAAGGAGAAGCAAGCATGTTGTTGACGAGAAAGCTCCCTTGTTGCCTAAACATCAAGATGAACATGCGGGTTATGATGAATTCAATGGAGCTTCATTCACTGGGGCGGTGTTCAATTTATCAACAACAATTGTTGGTGCTGGGATCATGGCCTTGCCTGCAACAATGAAAGTTCTGGGTTTGATTCTTGGGATTGACATGATCGTCTTCATGGCATTCTTAACTGATACCTCTATTGAATTCTTGCTTAGATTCAGTAGAGCTGGGAAAAAAACTTCTTATGGAGGTCTCATGGGAGATGCGATTGGAAAGTATGGAAGAATCTTTTTGCAAATATGTGTTCTGGTCAACAACATTGGTGTACTCATTGTATACATGATTATTATTGGTAAAAGCTTGATTTCCTTCAGTTGAATTGCATATTTGGTTGCTCTGTGATGTCATTAGGCTTCCTTTCTTGTTGATTTGTTTATTTACTTGGTTTCCCTTTTCTGATCTTATGGTAATGTGCGAATTTGCTTATGAACTTGTGATGGTTTGTTGTTTTTATGAAGGTGATGTGCTTTCTAGAACATCATCAAGTGGGGTGTGAAGATACTAATTTTTTTACCCACATTACTATTATTATTATTATTATTATTATTATTATTATTATTATTATTATTATTATTATTATTATTATTATTATATTAAATATATATTATATATATAAATAATTAATTACAGGCCAATTACAAATGGACCGGCCCAGTTACAAACAAACCAGAACCGGTCCAGAACAAACCAGAAACCCTAAACATTTGGGGGTTTCAGTTAGGGTTTCCTAACCCTAATCTAGCCGACCGCCTCATCACAGCCGTTGGATCTAAGAGATCCAACGGTCCAGATTGCCCCAGATGGAAACCCTAAGGTCTGATACCCTAGGGACACGCGGCCGCCGCTGCTATCTCGTCGCCTCCGCCGCTGCCACGTCCCAACCGAAGCCTCCAGAAGCTCCAACGCCAGCCGTCCACGCCATGGCTACGGGGTGAGTCACCACTGGTAGTCCGGTGACTCACCGAGACTCCCTCTTCGGACCAGTCCGATGGCCACACCGGTAGCAAAGAAACTAGATACTAAAAACTACCAACGATCTCAACAATCAGTAGCAAAGAAACAGAAGAGAAAGAAAAAGGAAGAGAAAGACTTACCGAGGAAGCCAAACGCCGGATCTCATCAAAACCTTCGAAAAACCGAAGGTATTCTTTTTAGATTTGCTCCGATTGGGAGCCGTTTAACGGAAAAGAGCATCGGAACTGTCATTAGGACGGTCCGATCTATGTTTAGATGTAAAAAAAAAAATTTCCGGCCACCGAAGACGGTGGCCGGCGGCGGTGGTTGACGGCGGACGAACGCCGACTGACGGCTGCCGGCAGACTGGCTTCTCTCTGTTCTAGAGAGAAGCGAGAGAAATTTTTTTCTCTCAAAGAAGAGAGAGAGAGAGAAGTAGAAATGAAGACTGGCCCTTCGGGCCAGCCGGTTTGGACCTTTTATAGTCCTTCCCGAACGACGTCGTTTCGGGAAGGACTATGCGCGTAATTAGACAATAGTTAAACCCCGTCCGCCGTCCTCCTAATTTGTAAACATTACATTTTAGTCACTAAATCGATTTTATAATATTTTTAATTCAGTCTTCGAATTTCAATTTTATTCATTTTAGTCCTTTTTATTAAAATAATATATTTAGGATAAATAACAGAATTAATCCCTTAATTTTAATAAATAATATTTTAATCCCTAGTTTATATTTTTAATTTATTTTATTATAATATCCGAATTTTAGATGATTTTATTTTAGTCACTAAATTATTAAATAAGAAAATAACATATTTAATCCCTATAATTTTGATTAATTATGAATTAGATTTTTAATTTTATTTTTACTGTAATTTAGTCAGTTATTTTATATGTTTTCATTTATTTTATTGTTTTTAAATATATTGTTTTAGTAGTATTTTTATTTTTATTTTATTATATTGTTAAATATTTTTATATATTCATAAATATATATATATATATATATATAATAAATAGTAATTTTTAAATATTTATTTTTAATATCGAAGAAAAGGACAGTCTTAATACAACTGGATGTCCCATTCTGATATTTTAAAATTAAAAAGTAAACAATATTATTTAAATTAATATTTATCAATATCAAAGAAAATAGCTGTCTTAAGGCACCTAGAAGTTCTTTTCTGATATTTTTAAATAAATAAATATTTTTTATATAATTTTGAAATAATAGAATTATAAATTAAATATATTTTTGAATTTTTAAAATTTTAATAATAGAGACAATTTATAATTAAAAAGTACCAATTTTGGGCGTTGTAGGGGTGCTAATCCTTCCCTAAACGTAACCGACCACGAATCCCTTTTTATTATTAAAAAGAACGAATTTTTGGTTATAAACGCATATCAGTTCATTTTTTTTAATTGGTGTTTTCTTAAAACTCTTTAAAAAAATAATTTTTAGGTATTCGACCTACCTGACCCAAAAGGCCGATGGCGACTCTCAAATTATTTTCAAAACCATTTCTTCACATCAATTTCCCCGCCAAAGTATAATATTTCGTGCCCGGACGAAAACCGGTTACGACAGCTTGGCGACTCCGCTGGGGACTGGTCAAACTTTTAAAAATCAATTATAAATTGTCTCTATTAATTAAAAATTAAAAATTCATATATTTAATTTTTAATTCTTTCTTTTCAAATTTTATTTATTTATTATTTTTATAAAATTTATATGTTTTATTTTATTTGCAAGTATTTTATTTCATTATTTATTTTTCTGTCAAAGGTTTGAACATTTCTCCTCACACACAACACTTGCATTGCATAACATAAAGCTCTATAATTGAGTTGTCCCTTTTAAGTGGGAGTGAAAGCGACGTCTTCGTGAGAATTTATTCTCCGTGTCAGACCTAGCAAGTAACTTTCGGGGTTCATATGTTTTATGTCTTCGTGAGAATTTATTCTCCGTGTCAGGCATAGAGAAATGTATCCCCTCGAATTGAACTCGATCCACTTTAGTCTGTAATGGACTAGGGTTGAGGGTTAGCAACCCAAGGGGGCACTAACAAGGACAATTCGGGTACCTTTATTCTTAGATCTGAAACCCTGCATATAAAAACCCTAGAAACTCTTCCGATCTGAAGTCATGCCGAAATTTTGTCCAAAATAGGTGTACACACAGGAGAAATGAATTCTGACTTTCTTGTTAATTTATTAATTAAATTACATGTTTATTTAAATTTTTTAAATTTAGAAAAGCATGTTTAAATAAAGAATATTTATGTAAATGTTATTATTAAATTTCTTTATTATGTAAACTAATTTATTTTCTTTTTGTGTGTTCTTTGTTTTTCTGTTTGCATTGCATCATACAGGATAAAAGACATTGATCCTTGTGTTAATTGTCTCATTGGAAAGCCTTCATCTATGGATAAAAAGTGTTCAAATCAAGTAATTCTAAACTCAGAAGTAAGACAGTGGGCTGAGGACTTACAAAGACAAGAAGGAGACAGTCTGCAGGATGATTATGTATCTGACTTGGCCAGTTATGCTCCAGTTTCACTAAAAAGAAATGATATGCAAGATTTGCGAAGCATTTGGGAAAGTTGGGATTCAAACAAAAAATTGCTGTTTTATCAGACTTACGGAGACATCCCATATTTGCTCTATGTAGAAGTTGATGATGAATTACTCAGAGCCCTAATTCAATTCTGGAATCCAGGGTACAATTGCTTCACTCTCAATAAAGAGGATTTGGTCCCTACTATTGAAGAATACACAACTTTGCTACATATAGATGGGGTTTTGGAGAATCGAATCTATTCAAAATCAATTAAAACTCAACCCTTTCGAGTTAAATTAGCAAAGATTGCTGGGGTACGAGAAGAATGGGTGGCATCCCGTACAAAACAAAAAGGCGAAAGCGAAGACATTGCTTGGACCAACATTAGAGAACTTATTCAGAGCCATCCAGATATTAAAGTACGATTCGATTTATTTGCTCTGGGTATATATAGTATGGTCATCTTCCCAAAAGTATTGGGATATGTTGAAGCTGCAGTGGTAGATTTGTTTGAACAGCTACCGAAAAAGATTAATCATGCTTCTGCAATTCTAGCAGAGACCTTCAGATCGTTAAATGCTTGTAGAAGGTTAGGAGGTGGACGATTCTCAGGGTGTACCCAGTTGTTATATGTTTGGATCCGTAGTCATTTCTGGAGGATAGAAAAGGTTTCATACCGACGCTTTAATACGAATTACTCACCATTAAAAGAATTTCTGGAGCAGGAATGACCGAAAGAAATTAAGAAAGATATGTGGATTAATGCCTTTCGAAATCTACAAAGCAATGACGTGACTTGGCGAGCCCCGTGGCAAATCCAAAGGGAATTCTTTTACAGATGTGGAAATTACAACTGGATAATGTTGCTCGGATTATGGGGAGGAATTGGATATGCACCACTTCTGGTCATAAGACAGTATGAAGGTCGTCAATTTGTACCTGTCACTGCTGGGTTACAGTCATCTGAATTCGCATTCCACAGCAAAAATTATAAAAGAAGTATCATGGAAGCCGTTACAGCTTGGAAAACAACTTTTTGTATCCGAGCTAAAGCAGCAAAAGAAATGCTAACTCTTGATTATGAAGAATGGAGATCTGTCAGGAAAAAACGAAAATATTCCTTTACCAGATCAAAATGAGGATATCTCTATGGAAGATCGCATTAAGGTGGTTCCGTCAGAGATTGAAATCTTGAGAGCTGAGTTTGAAGCAGAAAGAGAAGGCTGGTCAAAAGAATTAGAGCAAATGAGACAAGATAAAGCTATGTTGGGGGTTGACATTGAATTTCATTCATCACAATGTGCAATGTTGAGAAAAGATAAAGAAAAAAGTGAGGATGAGTATAGAGCCTTACAGAAAAATTACCAGGAGTTATATAAATCCCGGAAAGCATCAAGACCAAGCCAATCAACGGTACAGATGACTAGAGAGTTGAACATAGAGAAAAGTCGAGTTGAAGATCTGAAAGGAAAGAATAGTCGTCTACTCAAAAGCCTTGAGAAGGGAAAGCAAAAAATGAAAGATTTTGAGGTCGACAGAAGAGAGCGAATTATAAAACACAAGGCTGAGCATCGCGAGATCATGAATGAAATGCAAAGAGAAAGAGATCGAGTCAAAGATGTAGAAGAAATGAAGAATGACATCTTTAATAAATTTGAAGGTGAGAAAAATATCATGTTCAAAGGATTTGAATCTGAAATGAACCAGTTGATTGCCGAACTTGAAGTCAGAGGCCAAAAGATGGAAGAATCCAATATTGAAAAAGAAAAATGGGAGCTAGAAAGAAAAAATTTCAACACCAGACTTGAGGTAGAGCAGGAAGTGGCTAGAAATTGGATGCAAAGAGGCAGAAACAAGGATGTTCAAATCCAGAAGCTTAATCAAAGAGCGCAAGAAGCACGAACAAAACTTGAAGAAGATCTGGATTAGTCTAGAAATAAAAAACTCAGAGTGTAATGCTTACATTT